GCGTTCTAATAAAATAACGTGAGCCACTAAAGGGACATGGTTAGCTGCTTGCTAGCGGTAGCCTGTTACATTACAGTACATAAGATTTCACTTACCACATAAACAGAGATGACTGAGGTTGATGGCGAATGATTTACAGATCCTGAGCACCACTGACAAGCATCTGATCTTGTCAAATGTGTGGTAAGTACTGCCGCTGTAGTTTACACAGAGCACGTGCGATCGCAAATCTCGAAAGTGAAAGTAAAAAGCAATCGTGCATTCGAACGCAGTTTCAATGCCCTGCATGTTAATATGCGGCTCCGTGATGCCCGCATTTTATATACAGTATAATTACCCAAGGATATAACTGCGAGAGAGAGTATTGAAATATATCACACGTGCTGTGTGAGCTACTGAAATGAGCCGCACTGTGAAACAGCCAATCAGAGCAGAGCTCAACATTGAGCCGCACTGTGAAACAGCCAATCAGAGCAGAGCTCAACTTTATTATTCATGACCCTTCCAAATAAGGTAAAAACAGGCCATTTCATTCTAGGGACAAATCCTAGGGTTGTAAATGGACATGTAAAACCATTTCTGGAGATTTTTTGCCCTTACCTAAGCCACATACCTTCTATGTAGATATCAGAGAACAATTTAAAATAGTGTATCAATGCATTCTATGGCACCTTTAAATAACTATGGCATTTAAAGTGCCATTCTATGGCACTTTCCTGTAATATATTTTAAAATTTCATTTGTTCCAGTGCTAAGATGGTTCTGAAGCCGGTCGCACACCGAACGAGAAGCGTCGCTTCTCCTGCGCTTCTCGTCCGGTCCGTTTCGTCTCGTCCGTCTTTACATTGTTTTGAGTTGTTGCTAGGCGCCGCAGACAGATGCCGAATGGCGCCGCTGGTGTGCGTGCACTCATATAATCATAAAACATTGTGTAATCATTTTAAAGATGTGGCGCTGCACTTCTCGTTCGCTGTGCCACAGCCTTTAACCATCTCAACAGTCTCAGCAGTCATTACTCCAGTCTTCAGTGTCACATGATCCTTCAGAAATCATTCTAATGTGCTAATTTGGTGTTCAAGAAACAATGTCGAATACAGTTATGCTGGTTAATATTTTTGTGGCAACCATGATACATTTTTTGATGCATATAAAGAAAATAATTCATTTGAATTTACTCTTGATTTTATTTATCTTTTTGTTTAGCCTTTTTAGATTTTTTATATATTAAGAATTTATATTTGACCTTATATATTTAATTTTGAACAGGATCATTTGTATATATTCAGTTTAGTTTTGTGGACTATATGCATCAGTTTTGTCCTATCTGTTTTGTCAAACATTTCATCAGGCCAGTGCTAAAAATAAATAAATAAATAAATGCAATTTATTTTTATTATCCCACTTTAAAAATGCATGCAAAAATAATAAAAGAATAATATAAACATCGTAAAGATTCTTCAAGGGAAATGTAAACTGAGCAAAGCTGTATGATACATTCAATAATCATATTATATTTAGACATAACGTCTCAGGTTACTTGTGTAACCATGGTTCCCTGAGTAGGGAACGAGACACTGCGTCCTCTAGGGGTCGCTATGAGGGACGCCTCGTCGTGACCCGTGTCTGAAGCATACATTGAAAAAACACCAACTCGTTGGCCGGCGACAGCCATGACGTCACTACCGGTGCGACTATAGTATAAATAGGCGCCGGGAGAACATGTCATTCACTTCTTCGTCTGAAGCTTGCATCCGCAGCATGGCAAGAAACCTAGAGGACGCAGTGTCTCGTTCCCTACTCAGGGAACCATGGATACATAAGTAACCTGAGACGTTCCCTTTCATGGGAACTTCGAACTGCGTCCTCTAGGAGTCGCTATGGGGAACGGAATACCCACGCCACCATGCTGAGGGGAGTGCATGCCAGAACCATGGCGAGCACTAAGTACCAACTCTACCATATCGCTATGGGAGTCACCCCTGGGACGTTAGACGGCTGTCAGTGACATTATTCCCTACGGCCAAAGGCCTAGGCTACATACCCCAAAATACTTACCTGTTAGGGCCAGACTCCTGGGCCCGGGGTAGAGCTCAAGGCTTGGAATCAGGAATAGATTCCTTTAAGGGAATACGACCAAGAGCCTAGAATCATACTAGTCTTGGCCTGTCACACAGGGGCTACCGCACGTTTCTCTTTGTATGTGCTGAAGGAACTGTCTCCCTAGAGGACGCAGTTCGAAGTTCCCATGAAAGGGAACTGCGATTGTTAGAAATATTGTTAGTCATAACTGGACTTTATGATGGGTTTTTGTATATCTGACACGTCTAATATGAAACATAGTTGAGTATGATCAGTGAGTGTGTGTGTTTATGCAGGTTGGCTCTAGGTAACTGCAATGGTTTGGTAGTGGTGGACTACCTGCAGAAAACCGTTCTGCTGTGTATGAGCACCCTGGAGCTGTATGGATCCGCAGACCCTTTACAGCGACTAACACGCTCTCCTCGCAAAAACCGACAGTCCACATCAGGTACACATGCACTATGTGTCTCAGAATCCCACAAATGTTCAAATACAGTGTGTAAAATAAATTTCAGCTGTGAACACACACGTCACTGGCATGCATCTACAAACATGCTCAGCATTTCAGCTATCAAGACCAAACTTTGCAAATCTCAGGCTGTCTAACTTCTGTCCTTGCCTGTAAATATTCTGTCTCTTGTCCATTTAACACACACACACATGCAGTCCTTCTCTTTAACTGCATGGGACAGACTGCATTCCTGGTTGCCTTCTCTGCATGTCGTCTGTTGTATCTCTGTTGCTGTTGGTCTTTGCCTGAGCACGACACCTAACAGAGAACACAACGTAACCTGCCATACGGACTCGCTGTTACTAATCCAGCACAGATCTCGCTCCACCTGCCCTCCTCTCTCCTCCTACCCCGACTGCTCACGCACATACACACTCACACGGACCATCCAGAGAAAGGAGATGTCATAAGTGAAAGCTGAAGATGAAGATCTGTTTTCATAGAGCTTCATCAAAAGGAAGCTGTGGGGAGGCGGCAATGCCGGCTCCTCACTTCAAAGTGGTCGCTCTCCCTCCTCTTGTTCAGGCAGCCGTATCTTTAGAAACCGAGAGGCTTTGAGCCGACATGGAGATGCAGAGGTGGGCAGAAAGGTCGTTCGGTGCGGTCGAAGAGTGATTTCGATCCATCGCTTATGTAAGCTCTCAAAAAAGAGAGAGAACGTCTTAACGCTCACCCACACACTCAGTCCAGTGTGTATAAAGAGACTGTTTTGTACTCTCTCTCTCTGTTTTCCAATCCGATGAAAGGAGCAGATGTCCCACTCAGATTTTATTCTATCATTGATTACATTCTTTAGTCATTCTCTTTATATATGGTGGGATCCAAAAGTCTGAGACCACTGGTCAAAATGTTTCTATTTTGAAATTTTGAATGCAGTTTTTTTATTATAATGTCAGTATAATCAAAATTTTGAATTTAGTACATCCCTATTTTTTAAAAAGTGCACACAGCAATTTTCCCTCATTAAAATGTAATCGTACTTTTGTATTTTAATAGTCATTTTCTATGCTATATTTTGTTATGTTTGTAACTCACACAGGCTACATATATCTGATTAAAATACAGTGAAAATATTAATGTTGTGAATTATTATCACAGTTTAAAATAAGTTTTCTTTTTAAATATATTTAAAATATAATTAATTATTGTGATGTCAAAGCTGAATTATAGCCATTACTTCAGTCTTCAGAGTCGCATTTTCCTTTAGAAATCATTCTAATATGCTGATTTGCTGCTCACGAAGCATTTCAATGTTGAAAAGTATTCTTTCAGAATTTTGATGAATAGATTTTTTAAGCATTTATTTGAGATAGATTTCTTTGTTCTTAATTTTGATTCAATCAATCAATCAATCACTGACCCCAAACCTTTGAATGGTAGTGTAAATATCTTTAAATTTATGTACACCTACATGAATTAAAGACCTATCAGTGACCAAAAAATTATTGGACCCTTTTGGTTCATGACATAAATTAATCATGGCTGATTGAGAATTGGCCATAATAGGCTTATTTGATTAGGGACAAAAAATAGTGCAGAAAGTATTCGTGTTTTGTTATAAAAATTATTTCAAATCTAAAAACTTTGTTTATAGCCAGGTTTGAAATAAATTTTGAAACCAACAACTTCAGTCTGTTCTGGACCCCGCTGTATGAGCAGTGCTGCAGTTTGCATTGTGTGTGCGGCAACATAATAAAAAAACTGCAACATTGTGATGCAGCAACTTCCAGTGGGTACAAAAACAGCAAAGTTCATGTGATCCGCCTGCTGTCAGACGCTCACATTCAGTTTAGATAGGGTATCCATCAGCAAAATGAATCCATAATACTAATACTTATGCATATAAATACATCTTCACATATACACTTTAAGATAGACACTGAAGAGAGAAGTCATTTCTATTTATCCCGCTGTATGAGCAGTGCTGCAGTTTGCATTGTGTGTGCGGTGACATAATAAAAAAACTGCAACATTGTGATGCAGCAACTTCCAGTGGGTACAAAAACAGCAAAGTTCATGTGATCTGCCTGCTGTCAGACGCTCACATTCAGTTTAGATAGGGTATCCATCAGCAAAATGAATCCATAATACTAATACTTATGCATATAAATACATCTTCACATATACACTTTAAGATAGACACTGAAGAGAGAAGTCATTTCTATTTATGTTAATATTTATGTTTGTTTTGTTGGTTTGTTTGTTTGTACAATTTCAGTGCCACCTTCTGTGGTGGCTGTTAATCTTGAAAGGTTTTTCCTTATGTTTAGTTCTGTTTTCTGACTTATTTTGTTGTTTTCGGTAGAAGTAAAAAAAAAAAGCAAGGTTAAGATTAATTTTCCTATTTTCATTTCTTCATTTTCTCCCTCAGTACGCTGGGTCTTGCTCGGATTGCGGTCACATGCGTTTTGTTACTCTGAGCCTATTTTGTTCTTCTCTCCTCCTCTTTTCCTCCCTCACTCCGTGTCTCCTCTCGTGGGTGGCGGTGCTGGGGCATGGGGGCGCTGTTGCAGACTTTTGCATGCGCGGCCTGTCTAACTTTTATTCCGATTCAAAGAAACGGATCCGTACTTCCTACCAGAGTAAGTCATGTCTCCAGTGAAACGCCGATAGGGGCAACACAACAGCAAGGAGGCAAAGCACAGACAATGGGATGTCTTTATCAAAATGTGTTATTTTGATGACGTTTACAAAAGGTAGAATTACCATACCATATTACACTCAATGCAGCATTATTTATAGTAATTGTTACAGAATATCACATATTCTGAATTTGCATACATCGAAACATCCAATTACAACCTTTGATTGTCTCCTTGCTAAGTGTTTTATTGATTTGTGCCAAAGGTTTGTGTAATGAACCAATCACAAATGACCACGTTCTCACACTGTATAAAAAGGAAAACTAACAAAAAAAAAAAAAGAAAAAAAGACATGACATGACTTTTCCATTTAAACAAAATGTAGGGAAAAAAGTCAATATAAAAATACCAATTTAAGTCAACACTGCTAAAAAAAAAAGAAGCTTTAAAAAAATCATTGTACAGTAAGTGACTAGTGAATTTATATACAGTAGAACTTCTTCTTAATCTGAAATGTGTCTGATAATCATGATGGCCCAAAAATGCAATATAAAAAAAAAAAACATACTCTGCCAAAAGAATTAATCTCATTTGTGAAAATGAGGCTTTCACTGCATTCATGTATATGACCATAATAATAAAGTTATTGTTATTATTTAATAATAAGATTAGCTAAGCATGTACTTTGCAGATAAACTTTTGTTCACACACACACTTTCAAAATGATATTTCTGCAGTGCAGGCCTTATCATGTTTTTACCGTCATGCCTTGAGTAACATCGATGCGATTTTTGTCTCTCCTGCATGCACACACATGCATGGAATTGTTGTTGGTATTGGTGCACATGCTTGATTCTGGAGTTAATATACCCTACAGTGGTTGAACAGCTCATATTCACAACAGACAGAATAACCACGTCATGGCTATAAATGTACCGTATACGCCTAGTTAAAAGTTTAAAAACTCTATGTTATTAAGATGTCTGTACATCTTCCTTGCATCGCTCCAGGATCATGATAGTGTCTCAGACCACATTGTTTGTCCTGGTGATTTGATGCATGCAAATGTGTTTGGTGGTCATGGAACCCGGTGATTATTGTCATCTTCTTCCTCTTACTGTGCCTTCCATGTTTCTCCACGGCAGGCCTTACGGAGCTTTCTGATAATCAGGTGTCTTTGGACCTAGAGAGGAGCAAGTCACCCACCTCAGGTAACCATACCCACTCATGACCGCACACATCTATGATAATCTCACCACCTCTGATAATCAAGCATACGTCTATACTTCTATCTTTGACAGCCACACCCATGCTTGACCACACCCACTTAATATAGCCACACCCAAACATGACCAAGCCTATCTCAAATAGCAGTATCACCTTTGATAATCACACCTACTCCTACTTCTGATAGCCACACCCATGATTGGCCATACACACCTCTGATAATCACACCTAATTCTACCTTTGATAGCCACATCCATTATTGGTCACGGTTACTAAATATAGCCACACCCACTAATGACCACGCCCACATCAAATAGCCATATAACCTATCATAATCACACCTAGAGTGTGTTCCAATTTGTATACTTATTCTATGCCTTTTTGTAGTATACACCTCTCATTGCCTCACCACCTCTGATAATCACACTTACTTACACTTACTTTTTATAGCCACACCCACGATTGGTCACACACACTTAATATAACCACACCCACTCATGACCACACCCACCTCAAATAGCCATATCACCTTTGATAATCACACCTACTCCTAGTTCTGATAGCCATACCCATGTCTAGCCACACCTATAATAACCCCAATATAACCACACCCATCTCTAATAGCCATACCCCACAGGAAACAGTAGCCGCGTTTCCATTACCATTCAAATTGCGCAAATTGAAATTGGAAATTGAAAATACGCCTAATGGAAATATGTCAATTTTACAAAAACTCATATATATTGCAAAAATTAAATTTACTCTCACATTAGGTGGTTTTTTAGGCAAATCGAAAATGGAATATATCTCAAAATTGCAAAGGAATCTCCACACTGCTTTGCTAAATATACATGTCTACGACTCCTTCAATTAAAAATAATGGCTAGTGCGGTGACTGCCACATACATTAACCTCCCAACATTGGTCATCATGACTTTTTGAAAGAGGAAAAAAATTGCGTTTTAGTCGCATAACATCGGTTAATGGAAACACGGTCATTTCGCAATAGTTTTTTTATCAACATTTATAAAATATTGCAAAAGTTTTGCGCAAACCTGTAATGGAAATGCACGTAATGATGGGGGAGTGTTTAAAAAACCTGTTTGATAACATTCATTATTTTTGAAATTCCACTTGTGGTGCAAATGTCACACATTTCAGCTTTAACGACAAAAACATTAAAATAGCGACACTCACAAAAACCTTCAAACCTTCATCAAACCAGCAGTTTTCATCTTTTTCTTTTCTGTCCTCTTTTCAGTTTCCCCACAGCACAGGTCTTCAGTCCCTGGAGGCTCTTTCCTCTGCTCTCTTACCTCCAATGTCTTTTTCTTCTTTCTTCTTTAAAGCCATCATAACCTGTGTAGAATTTTTATGAGGATATGATAATGTTTACAGAGCTCTACTCAATGTTTGCATCGCCTCAGTGGGATGAACATGATGACAACAACAGTGCTTGTCCTTGAGGATCTAAATAGAGCTCTTAATTTAGAAAAAAATTATTTCAGTAAAGCTTTGATTTCTCAGGGGAAGAAATATTGCATTGTGTCTTTTTGAAGTTATTGTTGTTTGAAATATCAGAGGCACATTTTGTGTGGTGTCTCAAGAATACAACATTTGCTGTCTGTTTTTCTCTCTCTCACTTCACTCTCATGTCTCAGTGCAGTTGAAGCCTCTGCTTGTTTTCCCAGTTCCCAGCTCAGCAGGCAGCCTGAAAGATGGAAGTCGCTTGGGAAGGCGAGCTGAGCTGTAGCCTGACATTAGTAGTTTGAGAGTTTGGCTGTGTATCAAACATTTGAAGGAATAATTCACCAAAAAGTGAAAATTAGCAAACCTATATAAATGTATTTCTTTTGTGGAATACAGAAAAGTTGATGTATTGAAGAACATTCGTTTTCATACAACAGTGACAGAATTGTCAATTCTGGGTGAACTGTTCCTTTAAGATCTCAAGCCTGCAGTGAAGCACAGGAGTCACATGTGTGTGATTTTCTCTTGAATGTTCTGTGGTAAAGAGCTGGCTGTCAGAACAGTATCGTTTGTGTGTTTTCTTCTTTGGGATTTGTTGTGTTGGCTTCAGGCTGCTAATAGTAATTCAGATGTGTTTTTGTGGAAGCAGCTATTATGACAGGAGTCGGGAAATGGCCTTCTACGATTGGCTGGGGAATTCAGCCAAAAATTGGACTGAGATTCTGGGCGTCAGCCACTGAAGCATAAAAAGAGAGTTTGAAGGACTATAGAGAAAATATAAATAATGATGAGGAAGGAGAATACTAATACATTATTTGTTTGTGTTTACTGTATGTATTTCATTGCACTCATGTTTGAATGAATGATGCCTTTTTTATATAGCGCTTTATTGTGTATTGCTGTACACCCAAAGCGCTTTACAATCATACATGTGGTATGATTCATCATACAATTGGTAAATGTGCCTGGGTGTTTCATATGGGAGCTGTTGGCTTTGTAGACTTTTAGAGAGAGAAAAAAAAAACACTAGTCGGTTGTATAGCAATGTCGAACAGCTGTCATACGGGACATGCATCACTTTTCCCTCACTACATCTCAAACAATGTAATTAATAGGATTCTGCCTTGATGGTAAGACATTTTAAATGTTTTTGGAATAAAATGGCACACTTCTTTGGCTTGTTAAAGCTATTTTCTATGGAAGTTCTATGAGGCCATGGATTATACATTTTTTCCTTCTTTCTTGTTTTGTCGTGATAACGACTTAATTATCTTGTGATCACGACATAACAAAAGTTGTTTTCTCGTTATCACAACTTAATTTTCTCGTGATCTCGACATAACGAAAGTTGCTTTCTCGTTATCACGACTTATTTTTCTCGTGATCTCGACATAACGAAAGTTGTTTTCTCGTTATCATGACTTAATTTTCTCGTGATCTCGACATAACGAAAGTTGTTCTCTAAGTTACACAACTGCGCCAACAAGTGGCACTATAGACCTGAATATAACTGATGGGGTGTTGTATGCTGTATATCCACTTTACTGTACACGTTTGGTACAGAATAAGGACCTTCTTCGTGATCGCTATAATTTGTGCAGTATTGTTCATTACATTGCCTTTTTTAGACTGGAAAGATCACTTCATTTGCTTTTCATTAAAATGAATAATAACCCTGATTTTAGATACCAGCATTTTTTAGATACCAGCTGTGCTGTCACCTTTTACTTTTCTGTTATTACGTAAAGTCAAAGCACAAGTCAATGTAATGTAAGCTGATGCTGCAGCACAGATGGGTGAAACAATGTGAGTTCATATCTGCATAAAATGGCAAGAAACAGTATTTAAATGAGAGCAAAATGAAGCTTTTGGACAGAAGGGCAGATGATTCCAGAAAAGACTGAGGAAGGACATTATCGTTAAAGCAGAATAACCAGGAGTCCTGCGATACACTTGTTAGTCTTTCACAACGCTGTTCTCTCATCTTTACCCTCAGCAGTTTGGCCTCAATTCACACAGCAATCATGATTTTTACTGTCAGGTCGACACCTGCAGTGATTTGTGAGTCTTATGAATTCATCTTGTCTGATGATGTTAAATGCAGCGAGAATCTCCACCATTCTGTGTGTGCTGAAATGTCCTCAGTATTAAAAAAAAAAAAAAAAGCATGTCAGTTGCTGCTGAAAAAAAATTCTACCAGATATTTTCCAAGGTCAAGACTGGCTTTTCTAATAAATGCACATTAAACAAAGGTCAATGCAGTGGCATGCCTAAGATTTCTCAAATGCTCTTTGTATAAGTCACTTCACAGATTCAAAATCATGTTCACAACCAAAAGTTACTTTAATTAAAACGTATCTATAAAGAGGCATGTAAGCATTTAAGCGCCATAAGTGTTTAATTACCACCAGCTAGACCAGCCTAAATTATATATAAAAAATAATATTTTTTTGTTTTGTTTTAACATTATTTTTTATAATTTTTAGAATATGGTTATATTATTATTATCAGATTATTTTAAAATTCCTTGTGTGTGATTTTCTCCACTTGTAGGGTCCTGTTATGAATCTCAATGACCTATAACAAGCTGTTTGGCTGTATTTAATTGAGCCTGGTATGTGACAATGACTGTGTGATCTCTGATTTCCAGCACCCTACCCCCCTTCCCTCCATAATGACCCTCGAGGCACAGGGGAACCTGTGTCGAACCTCCGGTCCTGCCACTACAGTCCTGTCTTTTACCTGTTGGACAATGGTAAGAATGTGTCCAGCCCCTTAAAAACACCCACACACAGCAAGCCAACGGCTCATGTGCTTCTCCGTCTGCGTGTGTGTGGGTGTTTGTTTGGGGGTAGCATGCTGCAGTAGAAGTAGCCTTACGCTCGTAGTGCCCTGTGCTATGCTCCGTGCTGCTGAGGTGTAGGTGTAGGTGTGTGTGAGTGCGTATGTGAGTATGTGTAAGTGTGCTTCACGTTTGGCTATTGTAGGCATGTGTGTGATCAAGGCATGGTAGTAGGTAGTATGTATTGTGTGTGTTGATGAGAGGGGTGATATTGTGACTGTAGCCCAGACAGAGCGTTGATCGTTGAGGTCCAGTAGGGTCAGATGACACTTTTTTTTTTTTACGTGTAAATAAAGTCTGTTTTCATTTTTGTCACATGTAGTTTCCATTGGCTGACTTGACACGGGATTCTTTTGGTTTTACTGAATTTCAAAATTCAATTCAAATTCAAAATTTTGTTTGCTCTTTAGAATGAGCAGTAGTCCTCTCTTTTCACCGTTTTATTTTTATTTTTTTCATTCCAAACATTAGCATTAGCACTGTTGGCATGGCTAGTTTGGGTTTGAGCCACAGGGTACAACAGGGCTAAAGACATTAAAACATTAAGAAAATGTTCTATTCAGTACTTCCATAGTGTATACTTGCAAACAAAAAATAAAATAAAAGAATATATATTTATTATTGAATATTTATGGAACAACACATTAAATGGAAAACAAAATCATAAAATTT